ATATATATCTGATAATGGAAAATATAAGAACACATACTCATTTGACCAAAAAATGGCAAATAATTTTACTTTTGAAGTCAGATTTTACTACCCAGGAAACTTTGAGAAAATTCTTTATACTTCTATGAACTTTGGTTTTCTCATCTATAAAATGAAAATAAAAAATTATACCTTTCTCATAGGGTTGTTTTGAGGATTAAAATGAATCTATCGTCAGTACTTAGTTCAGTGCCTGCCAGAGTTCATTGTACTGTGCTGCTACTACTTCTCTCTCTCTCTCTCTTTCTCTCTCCTATGGCTATACCATCACCACCACCAATATCACCACCACTATCATCATCATCATATCATCATATGTATTACTATCCCTGACTGGCTATCTCTGGCTTGTATGATATACAGATTGATATAGAAGAGCAGAGTCATGGGATGGGCGAAGAGTAGTAAAAGGGATACTTGTTTTTGATCCCAAGCACTACTACTCACTACTTGGACTATACACTTAAACTTTCTGAGCTTCCTTTTGTTTATGTAAGTCCTAATACTAGCATGAATGATTATATCATCTGTATTAATGAAATAAAATGGAGAAGAGCACAAGATTTTCAAGGTCATGGGTATTCTCCATGTATGAGTGAAGCTGCCTAGCTAACCCAGCGTCTATGATTATCTAGGAGGATAGAGCTATAGGCAGAATAGATCCAGAAAACCCAGAACCTTGGCATGGATGCATGTTTATCAGATTAACAATTGGTGTCCCAGGTCCCAATGTTATTTCCTAAATTTTTACAATCAAGACCAACGGAGCCAATCAGAGCTTTGAACTTAACATTTGGTAGTTATGAGAATTAATAGTAGTTTTAATACCGTAGGTTTTCAGTTGAAGACCTCTCTACATAGCCATTGACTTATGATTGTTTATACCATTCATTCATGTTTTGCTTGTATCCTAAATGCATGGATAATTCCCTTCATTTTTCTTATTTGTTTTCCTTTTTGATTACAGCTCCTTCCGAGATCACTTTTGCCATTGATGTTGGCAATGGCCCTATAGAGCTCGTCGTCCGGTCTCCTTCTCTTCTGAATGACAACCAATGGCATTATGTTCAGGCTGAGAGGAACCTCAAGGTGACCTCACTACAAGTGGACAGCCTCCCAAAGATGACCAGGGAGACTTTGGAGGAGGGCCATTTCCGATTACAGCTAAACAGCCAATTGTTTGTAGGTAGGGGACATCTTAAGGCACCCTTCATGCTAAAAATCCTACAAAACCACTGTATGACTAGGTACAAGAAAAATTACTTTTATTTTAGACCTGGGAAATGATTAATATATGTCATAAAACACTTATAATTATAAATCTAATTTTACATTTTTTTTCTTTCTAGCTTTGTTAGCCACAGCAATAATAGATTATGTCTCCTCTTAGCAAATTTTAAGGTGGTCTCAAACTCTTTTTGTATCTGTTCTCCTTATACATATGATCTTCAGTTATCCAGGGACTCCTATTATTTTTTATCTTTATAATCAAAATATGCTCTTAGGAAAAAAATATATCAGCTCATTATATCTTAGTGGTGTTAGCTCGAGGTCAGTG